TATATATATATATATATATATATATATATATATATATATATATATATATATATATATATATATATATATATATATATATATATATATATATATATATATATATATATATATATATATATATATATATATATATAAAACCTTCGTCCCACTCTCTTTGCCCACTTTTGACTTTTGGAACTGTTCATCTAAGCACTTTGACTCATCAAATTCTCTCAATGTGTAAGCCTAAATATAGTCATGTGTGATCTTGTTTGATTTGTCTTAATATATAGATTATTAATAAATAATTTTTATAATTTTTTAATATACAAATTACAAGATAAAATGGATTAAAGAAGTACATTGGATGGTGTGCCAAAAGGTAAGTGGACAAAGAGAGTGGGATACTGGGACGGAGGGAGTATATATATAGACACACACACAGTCAGACTCCTTATTTAACTAAATAACACTAAAACATAATGACTTTTTCTAAATAGCAACATATGTTTTTGATTGCCCTATATAGCACTTTTAGTCATTATCTATTAGTCATTATTTAGATAAATGTTTACCGTCACAGAATATTATTTTTCCTTCTGAAATTATTAAGTGTTATTTAATGGATAAAAAGTTTAAGTCTGATCTTGGGAAATGACTTATGTTTTAGTGTTATTTGGTGAAAATATATCTTCATTAAAAAAATATTCACGATGATGAAATTAAATTTAAATATATTCATTATAAAAACACCTAATATTTACCTCAAAAAAAGGAAAACATTTGTATTCTTATGTGGTGATGTTTGATGTGAATAGTGGAAAAAATAGATTGATCATATCTATAGTCAACACCTTAAAAATCCATACTTTTAATGGATTCTCAATTTGGTTTTCCCGCCCATTTGATGTTCCAATATGGTAATTACTCATTTAAAATGGAGTTACACGGGTCATTAATGGAGTTAACATAATTGAGTAATTACTCAATTAAAATGGTAAGTAATTTAAAATAATAATAAAATATTTAAACATAATTACACTAACCATTAATAAATCAATCCTTTTTTAACCAGTTTATACGAATGGTAATAATTGTATTTAATTATATTTACTAATATATATGCAATAATATCTAATAACTTATTTCATTTAAAAATGTTAATATACACATTTATTTTAAACGGTTAAATTAATATAAACATGTATTTTGGTAATAA